GCTCTTTCGAATAAAATTGTCTTTCAAAACGCAAGCATCTGAGTGTTCTGATCGTCCATCGATCTGTAATATTGATGAGAACAACTAGCAATTGTGGTTCGACTTGCTGTGACTCGGCTCCTGACAATGTGGTACGTTGCACACGGTACGTTGCATGCGGCTTACCCACTACCCGGGGCCCACGGGCGCGGAACACCTGCATGCTATACCTGAGTGCGATGTACCTGCAGCGTCAGCGTCGCCTGCAGTCATAACACAGTCGTATCCACGCTTATGCTAGTGGCTTCACGGTACTGCGGCGCTGAGTTAACTCGGCGCACTACTTCTGGATCTAACTACTTCCTGATACAAATCGAGGGTCCCACTACTTATATGGGTAAAATTTTTCCCAAGGGTACTTAAAATTTCAATGTTGAGGCTTTTCTGCTCTTTCTTCCCGCAACGTCTAATCTAAAACTAGTGATGTCGTACACCACTAGTACTTAGAGATGACTTCATCACCTCAACTTTCTCGTGCTTTCTGATCTTGAGGCTTCGGCTCTTCAACTTCTCACAGAGGATGTCCGAGCTTCAAGTTTAATCTTGGAACTTGTTGTCTTCTCGCATGGGTTAACAACTTTTCGACTCTCAAAGGTGAGTACTTACTCCCCTCCTTAAGTCTACATAACTTTTGGTAATTGGTGCACATCTCCTTCCCTCATGAACCATCGGGCGCCCCCCTAAAGTGACGCCCTTGGTCCAACAATTCACAATTCAGATATGGGTCTTCAGTTCTTGCAGCTTCTTGGCGTCTCGGTGTTCAGCTCATGTAGCTTCTTGGCATCTGGGTCTTCAGCTATTGCAGCTTCTTGGAGTCTCTCGGTTTGGCGCTCTTGACACGGGTCCTTCTTCATCATCAGGTCAATCGAATTTCATTTGTCGGTCAAGTGGTCTTCTCGGTCACATTTTGAAAATACGTACGCGTGATTTTGAACAATGGTAACTCTTCGGGCGTTGTCAGTGAAGTGTTCTCTCTCTTCATGGCTTGTAGAATTTTCCTATCGGCATATCGTCCATCTGCCCACAACTTCCAACTCGAGAGTTGTGGCATTCGGCATAGGTATGCAAAATTTATAAGTCTTCGTCTTCTTAAACATGCTATCTCGACTTCCACGAATGCGGAAGTTGGTTCTCATACGAGGTTTTGGGCTTGCCCCAATCTACAACTGCTGATGAAATCAAAAGGGCATACCGGAAACTAGCTCTGAAGTATCACCCTGACGTTAATAAAGAGGTATTTGGGTTCGATAAAGTTGCTGCCTTTCGCTTTATCCTGTTCAAATTTGCGAGTTTTGAATGTTCTTGGAGTTGGGTTCTTGAATTTAGGTGGGTCGTGCTGTTAAATTAGAGATAAATGCAAATCACTGGCCATTGATTTTGGGGGTGTATTCGTTTCGGAATTCGAGTGACATTTAAAGACTTTTTAAGATTTATAGTTTGGTAACTGGCAATATGAGGTTTTGGTTTTTTTCTTTCCAGTTCTTGCTGTAAGTTTGGGGAAGAACAAAAGAAAACTAATTACATAATTCTGGTATCGACTACAAACTTTTGGACGAATACAATGTGGTGTATAAAGTGTATATATTTGCATGTAGGGGTTGAATTTAACTGATTTAGGAGGGTGTATTCGTTTGAGATTTTGAGTGACATTTTAAAACTTTTCTGAAATATGAGACTTTTTAGAGGAATCCTTGGATATATTATGGCTGGCGGTGGGATTTGGCGTGAGATTTTGTATAAGATTATTGTTTGTTGGTTAAGTTCTTTTCCATTTTGTGGAATTTAGGTAAATGCAAAGGAGAAATTTATGAGGATAAAGCATGCTTACAATATTTTGCTGAATCCTGAATCTCGGAGCAAATATAACACTGGGGATCGAACATCAGATTACTCCTACTCCAATGGACGAAACAAAAATTCCAAAGAAGAAGAATTTTATGGATTGGGTAAATATCGAGATGCTTCTTGAACTTACATTGTTTGGCTATGAGGTTTTACCTAATGATCACTGATGACTGATGAGAAGATATTAAGAAGCTTGCATTCCCAGTTGACTTACTTCATTGAAAAACGTCAGTGTTTTTCTGAAATATATGCGACTTAGAACAATAAATGTGGCTCTACGCTTTGAACATAATATCGATAAAACTATTTCCCGTTAATTTTCTTTCATCCAAAATTTGTGTTTTCTTGTCCGTTTTCAATTTCATTCTTCAGTCTCTATATAGTTTTTAGGTTTAGTGGTTTACTATCTGTTAA